ACGTTTCGACAAAGTTTTGTCATCAGTACCTGATAATGACAAAACCTTGTCTAAACGTTGTACATTTGCTGTTATATTAAAGTTTTTCTTCGTTACCCATTCAAGCCGTCTCCAGCCATTATTAGTCTCAAAGTGGGTTCCTCGTCATCGAATCTTCATGGAGTATTTTCAAAGTGAATTACTTCCATCAACACAAAGATTCCATGGTTTATTACATACATGATATATTCTCTGACTGGCCAACTCACAGAAGTGACTTTCAGAACTTCTTCAAAAACTTAACCTTCTTCACAATACCTTAAAGTTTAAAGTCGGATGGGAAGTGGATGACGCTTCATACTTTGGATATCTTTGTAACCAGAACTGATACAGGACCTGTTCTGTCTATCACCTGAAAAACCAACAAACCCTGTCTGGTATATAAATTTTTTCCTCATGCTATCACAAAAACATTAAAACATCTTTGGAATCTTTGTTTCGTTCTTCAACGTAAAGAAATTCAAGACATCATGTCCTTCTTGCAGGATTTACAATATCTCATTCAATTCATCAAAAATGCTCATCTATAAGCCAGGAAAAAAGTAACAAATGAAAACGGTACAAAACCACTCTATTTGAGCTACAACAGCATCTGGTCATAGATCTGTCTGAATTGAATTACCTTTTCTTTTTTTTTTATGGTTCAGTGTTAACTGCTTTCTGGAATAGAATTGTCTTCTTTCTAGGCAAGTTGGGTTGAAGATTAATTTTAAGTGTCTCTTGAAATTTATTCATGTTTTCCATCTGATCTAGCCATGGATTTGAATGTTTTCACCAGGGTAGATTAATTGTTTGCAATTTAGTAACATACTCTCAGCTATCATCTTAAAAGGGTAAATATGCACCTCTTCATGGTCCATTTGTGATAATCCTTCTCTTTTGTCTGATGTCAATTGTTAAGGAGGTAAGAGATTTTGCACTTAACTGTCTCACTATAGATTTGTTTATTGTAAAGTTGAATTGAAAAATAA